CCCGATCCCGACCCCCCAATCCGCTCCCGATCCTGATCCCTGATCCCGATCCCTGCTCCCAACCCCGATCCCTGATCCCAACCCCGATCCCGACCTCCCAATCCGCTCCCGATCCTGATCCCTGCTCCCAACCCCGATCCCGACCCTGACCCTGACCACCGATCCCAACCCCGATCCTGACCCCAATCTTGACCCCGACCCCGGCTCTGATCCCAACCCCGATCTCAACCCCGACCCCGACCCCCAAACCGTGACCCCCACTCCAGCCCCTGCCCAATCCCGGCCCCGGGCCGAGCCGCCTCTCCGGTAACCTTCCCGTGTTTATTGGGGTCGTGCAGTGCCCACGCAGCGCCCACCACCCGCCTGCCCCTGCCCAGCCTGGCTCCATGGGCAAGGAAGCGGAGCAGTCTGAGCAGCACAGGGCAGCCGGAGCCTCCTGCCGTGCCCACAGCACATCCCAGGCAATCCCCAAACCCCTCACAGCATCCTGCCACAAGTCCGTGCCTGCCGTCATCTCCCCCAGGAGAGGCAGGAACCGAGGTGCATTCCCCATCCCAGGCACGGGATGGGAATTTTGGCTGTCAGCAATGCCAGCTGAGCGGGGCAGGATGCTGCAGCATCACACCGCAGAGAACATCCCGCATGGGAGGTGGCAACGGAGGAGTAACACCTTTGTAACTGCAACGACAGCGTCACCACAGCCACCTCAGGCTTTCAGAGCAGGTAGTTTCAGTTCTGAGCCGAGCTCCTATCCCACCAGCTACGTCCACGGGAAGAAGTTGCAGTGCAGGATCAGTCCCAGCAGCCAGTAGCCCAGGAAGAAGCCCAGGATGCTCTTGCTGAGGGGGGTGATCGATCGCCAGTTCAGCAGCAGCCTCACAACGGGGTTGTCCGAGGTCCCTTTCCCACAGGAACTGGGAGATTTACCCAGAAGAGCCTTCCCAGAGGCTGGCTTATCAGCCCCTGTGCTCCAGAGCAAAGGTTCGTGTTCCTGAAGCAGGTGAGCTGCGAACCAGTACAGGATGGGAGAGGAGGAGCCGAGGAACCGGGTCAGCACCTGGAGACAACAGGCAGAGGAGAAATCACCCCAGCTGCTGTGCTGTCACCGCCCCAGCCCCACAAGGAATCCCCTGTCCTACCTGCACGTGCATGCAGCAGAACCCGAAAGCCAGCAGGGCCGTGCTGTGGACCACATACACGAAGGCAGCAGGGCCACAAAATCCATCTCTTGCCTTTCCTCTCTCTTCACTCTTCCTCCTCTCTAGACCAAGAGTCAGGCAGTGCCGGGGGTTTGTGCTGACGTAGGTCCAGGCAGCCCATGAGCTCAGAAGGGTGACAGGCAGAGCTAGCAAGAAATTGGGGATCTGTCTGAGCTCAAAGTACCTTAGAAAGCCCACGTTCCAGTAAGTGTCCTGGATATAGGAATAGACCAGAGGGAAGCGCTGGGAGCACCAAGGGGGTTTATCCCCAGCCGCGCCTGCCACACGATAGCCCTTGTCCCGTGCCAGCTGCAGCAGCGGCTCGGGAACGGCCTGGCCCAGCCCCGTGCCGGGCTCGCAGAACCTCACGTAGGCGTAGTACTGAAACACCGCAAAAGGCAGGGAAATCAGGGCACACAGCAGGGCTGCCGAAGACGCCAGGCCGAGGGCCCGCTTCGCCAGCGCGGGGAGCGCCGCTCCGTCCTGCAGCCGCAGCGCGAAGCGCTTGCCGCGCCAGTACAGCACGAAGCCCGCGTTGACCAGCCCGTTGGCCCGCGCCCCGGACGCCAGGGCGAAGAGCAGCCCGCTGAGCCAGCCGTGCCCCTTCTCCAGCTGCCACATGGCGCTGAAGGCCAGCGCGGCGAAGGCGCTCTCCGAGTAGGCAGCGGCCATGAAGACGCCGGCCGGGCTGAGGGAGAAGAGCAGCGCGGCCACGAAGGCCTGGCGCGGCCGCCGCAGCACGGCCCGGCCTAGGCGCAGCAGGGCCGCGGCCGCCAGCGCCGACAGCAGCGCGTTCAGCAGCGCGGCCGCCAGCAGCAGCCGGCCGCGCGGCTGCAGCGGGCACGGCAGCAGCCCGGCCAGCAGCCGCAGCCCCAGCGGGAAGAGCGGCAGGAAGGCGCAGTTGTGCTCCAGCAGGTAGCCGCGCTCGGCGATGAACAGGAAATGCTCGGCGTCCCAGCGGCCCAGCCCGCCCAGCAGCCGCTCCACCAGCGCGTCCCACGGGCCTCGCGGGCCCAGCCGCGGCGGAGAGAAGGCGTCGGCAGCGTGGTCCGGGACCAGCAGGTTAAACACGGCCTGCAACACAAGAGAGGGGTGCAGGCTGGCCGAGAGCTCCCGGTGGCACCGAGGCCGGACCCCAAGATGCCCACGAGGTTGTGAGGAGGTGCAGACGCAGCCTTTTGGGGTATTGACATCTGAACACAGCAACGCTCTGGGATGCAGCATGAATCCCTGCAAAGCCGGGGAAAGCTGCTCATGGCTCTGACTGCGCTCTGTGCTAGCTGCCACAGCCAAGCTCTCCCATGGCCAGAGCAGGATGTCTCTGGAAACAAGACTTGGGAGGAACGTACAGGAGGAGATTACTGTTCCTTTTCTGTGGATAAACACACTTGGAGCCAAACCAGCCTCTTGCAGCAGCAGCATGAAAACACAGCAAGTTAAAGGAAATTAATGTGATTTTACTTAACAGCAACCTGTAAGTAAAAGCCCTGGCTGCAGACGGTCTGTTGGCTCTCCGAGAAGTTGCTTTCCCCATTGTGCAGAACCAGCTCATGGATCCCGGGGTACTGAAGGCAGCAAACCCCAGCAGAGCCTCCCTGCCTGGAGGACAGACTTGCCTGCAGCAGCAGCGCCAGGGCCCGGCAGCGCAGGGCGAAGCACACGACCTCTCGGAGCTGGGGGTCTGCCCTGCTCCACCGCTCCATCCCGCACCCAGAACTGCCTCAGGAGGTCACCGGTGCCAGGGGAATTCTCCTTCCAGTGTGGGAAACCTGGGGTGGCAAACACAGAGGACAAAGAAAGGGAGGTCTGGCTTCAGCCTCATTTGTGAATTTTGTGCCTTTATTTACTGTCAGGCACTTGAAAGGTACAAGTCTCTGAACAAGAAAGTCACTTATGGAAGAGATCACGGGTCTGGGAGATGACGCAGAGACCTCTTTGATATTGTTCCTACTAAAAAAAAAATCCCTGACTTATTAACCTTGGCCAAGACACTGAGGGAGAGAGGCTACGGCGTGTTCTGAGCCCGTTCCTCCCTGGGCTGGAGCGAACCCCTGGAGCAGACAGGCTGCTCCTGCCTCAGCAGGAACTCCAGCAGCTGGAGCCAAGCATCCTCACCCACATCCAACGCTGTGAATGGGATTTAAGCCTCTTTTCCTTGGAATGGAGACAGAATTCCCGTGGACTCCGAGCGTAACCCCCATGTAAGCAGGAGGGCTGCCAGGAGCTCCCTCCTCTCTCCTGCTCCGTGTTTGCCCCTGGGAAGCCAGGAATGGATTTACTCAGCTGGCTCCATGGCACCAGCTCTGCCAGAGCAGGGTGGGACTCAGGCACACAGCTTCCCCCAGCACAGGCAGCACGGGCAGGACACAAACCCTGTGCCACTCCACCCTCACCACCTGCAATTTTCCAGTGTTTTGGCAAAGCTCCTGGCACCTGCCTGCCAGGCACACTGCACGTTCTGAATGCACCCGTCCACCTCCTCCCTGCAAACCTCGCCTGAGGGATTTCAACCTCTTTGTGGAGCCTCCCCAGTTCAGTGTCTACATGTCCTGGGTGCCGTGGTGGCCCAGCTGTGATGCCCTGGCCCCGAGCCACGGGCAGGATCTGCTGTGCAGCTCTTTAAGATAAAACATTTCTTCCGTTGGCTCCCCAGCCACCAACTGCTTTTCAGCTGGAGAAACACACAGCCCGCAGCTCTCGCCGGGTCCCAGTGACACCACATCCTGCCCTCCTGTCTGCTCCAGCACTCTGTAACACACAGAGATCCCCAAATCCATCGCTCCACAACCTAAAATCACTGACATTTCCCTACTGCATTGTGGAGAAAAAACCCAGCCAGGCCGAAACTGCATGAGAGGACAGAGAGCAAACCATCAGCAAGGCAAGAACCAAGATCCAGACTGGCTCATTGACAGCTCCAACCGCACAGGGTTATTATGATTCCTATTTAACCACAAATAAAAGTTTTGGGTTGCTCCTATTCCCCTTGTGCTCCCCAGCACTCACAAAGCCACTGGTGGGAGGCACGTCCTCCTGCACCACGAAGCCGTGACGTTATTTTAAGCGAGGGGACACTTCAACCCAGCTGTAAACTCTTTTAAAGCACATTCACAGCTGCAAATCCTATTAAAGCACAGCGGCAAAAATTGTCCTGGCACTTTAAATATAGTTTTTTCAAAACGCAGAGAAAAAGCCTCGCCTGAATGTGCCAAGAGAGCTCAAAGCAAACAGCTTTAAAAAGCCTGTTCCTGTCACGATGCAGCACACCTTGTGACAGAGCAAAGCCTTCAAAAGAGCTGCAGCCCACGAGCCCCGTTTGGATCCAGAACACAGCGTCGGGAATGGCTCTGCCCCAAAAATCCTGTGGGAAAGGACACCTGCACCAACACAAAAAACGAGAGGCAGAAGGGCGTTAAAAATATTCCAGCAGAAAAAGATGCAAAGTCTGAATTGAAGATGTGTTTCCCTCTGCGTTCTGCTCTTCCCTTGGCCCTGAGCTGCGAACCTCCGTTTGGAGGCGGCGCAGAGGGAGGGATGCGGACGGGACGGAGCGGCGGGGCCGGGCGAGGACGGGAGCGGCGGGGCCGGGCGAGGACGGGAGCGGCGGGGCCGGGCGGCCGCAGTGCGGGCCGGGGACCAGCCGGTGGCAGCAGCCGCTCGCCACCGGGCGGGTACGGGGCGCTGCTCCCGCCCGCTCCGGGCACCGGGCACCGCTCCAGCCTGCTGTGAAACTCATCGGGAGCTCCAGACACGTTGTTAAACCCCTTCTAACCAGGAGGCCAAAGGAGGGCAGCAGGATTTAGGGAATCCTGTTCGCCTGGTGCCGTTTCTGCGGGCCTGGGAGCTCTCGGCATCCCTGCGTCCGGCCCAGCTGCGCTCCGGAGGGTCCAGCAGCGCTCCCCTTGGCTCTGGGTGCGATCGGGGGTGGTTCTGTCTCTGGCAACTGAACCTGCTCTGATCAGAACCGCTTGGGCTCGGCCGCGGCTCCGGCACGGGACGGAGCCTGCTGTGCCCAGCCCGCCCGGGCCGGTCCCGCGGCCGCTCCCCGGTCGCCAGAGCGGCACACGCGGGGCCGCAGAGCTCCGCTGTCCGCCCGCAGGCGGGACCGGCCGTGCTCCGGGAGCCGGACAGCTCCCGTGCCGAGCAGCGGCCACCGGACCCACCGGCCCCGGGCACACGGGGCTGTCCCGGGCTGCCTCCAGCCCCTCCGGTACCGCTCCCGCCGCCAGCGAGGCCGCACGGCGCTGCCCGGGACATGAACCGCGCCCGATCCCGCGCCTGACCCGGGCCCCTCCGGGCCTCACCGTGCGGCTCCTGCCGGTGCCGGGGCCGGGCCGAGGGCGGCGGGGACACCCCGGCTCCGGTCCCGGCTGAGATCCCCTGTGCCGATCCCGGTGCCGGTCCCGGCTCACTCCCGGTGCCGGTGCCGCAGCGCCCCCTCGCGGCGGTACGAAGGGAGGAGCCGCCCCGGCCCCTTCCCCCCCCCCCATCCGCGCGCGCGGCTCCCCGGCACCGCCCCGCGCGCGCGCGCGACTTCCGGCCGCGCCACTTCCGGCGTCACGCGGCGGCGGCGCGCGCGCGTGGGGAAGGGGCGGGCGGCGCCATCTTTGTTAAGGGCGGGCGGGGGAACCGGGACCGGGAACCGGGATCGGGACAGGGACCGGGACCGGGCTGTGCCCCGCCAGCAGCAGCAGCAGCACAAGGACCCGAGGCGGCAGGGCGGGCCCGCGGGAGCTGCGCCCTGCGGGGTGTCGGGAGCCCGCGGCATCCCCGGTGCCGGGCGGAACTCCGATCCCTCACGCTGCACCCGAACGCTCCCGTTCCCCCGGAGCCCCTCAAAACGCCTCTCTGCCAGCCAAGAGGAAACCTCGAGCTCTGCCCAGGCCGGAGCCCTCGGCACACCCTCGGGGTGAAGCAGAAACCCTTGAGGAGGCTCCCCGAGCGCTCTCGGGCATCAGCCTTGGGAGAACTCACGTTTTCTTTGCTGGCAAAAAAGTGGGAACAGCAGAGCGACTGGTGCCCAGAGGCATTATGAGGAATTCCTCGGATGGCAGGATTTGGGCACAGATCGGCCCCAAGCATCGAGAGTTGGCGCTGCCAGGGTCGGGGCAGGTGTGGCTGCCCTGTGCCACGCTGCGAACACTTCTTCTTGTTTTACTCATTGCTCACCTCTGCCCTTGGTTCTCACTGTTTGAAGTGCACGGGGCTGTGTCTGGACACAGTGCTGCGGGAGCAGGATTCGGATAGCTGGGTGTGTGATTCTGGTTAAACCCGGGAGCACTCCTGCCCGTCCCTCCAGGCCGTGGCATTCACCCCGGATCCACCGCACACACACAGAGCTGCTGCCTTTACCTGCTTCCACGGCACCACGGCTCCTTTCTGCAGGAAAAGCAGCACAACTCCCACGTGGGTTAAACACAACTCCCGGAGCGCAGGGCGAGCTGTCGGTGTGCACCGGCAGGGCAGAGAACAGCAGAATCCAGCACAATCCTAAAGCCAAGGAAGCCCAGCACCATTCCTGCCTTTTGAGCAATCCATTTGAAGGACTCTCCTGCCAGGAAGGGCTCCCACAATTCCTGCTGACAGACAAGACTTTCCAGGAAAAAGACTCTTTGATTTTGGCACAGTCGCTCCCAGGAATCAGAAGTTGGAGGAATGGAGGCTCTAGGAACTGAGAGCTCCCGAGGACAGGACTGGGAAGATAAAACAAGGGGAATTTTTAAACAAAAATTACGTTTGCCTTCAAAAAAAGCTGTTTTTTCTTTTATGAGCTCGGAGCAGTTCTAGCTACCCTACTTGCAGCATCCACTGAGGACAAAGCCTCGGGCTAAATGAAATTCAGCTTCCAAAGCCCTGAAACAGATCCTCATCCAGAGAGCCTGAACTTGGCCTGTTTGCTGCAGGGCCTGGGAGCTCTGTCTGCTGGAAAGCCCCGGCTCGGGAGGAAGTCAAGAGTACGTGCCATGCTCCCAAGAAAATGTGAAAAATGCGAGGGGAAGGAAAATTTTCCATTTTACAGAGCTGGGAGGGAACGGCCTCCCTTCCCAGCAAGGCCCTTCCCTCCCTGGCAGCCACAGCTTCACCTCACGCTGCAAATCCCGAGCCTGGGCAGCTCCTCAGGAAAAATTCCAGCAGGGAAAGCAAAGTCAGAGCAATCAGCCACAGAGCTCCCGAGCAGGGCAGGCCTTGGGCAGTGCCGAGCTGCCCTCCCTGTCCTGCCAATAAAAAAAACCCTTACAAACATCTTACCAAGATTTAATGTACATTTATTCTTAACACGTGGAACATATAGTATAAAGATTTCATACTGAATAAATGATATTCATTAAGCCAAAAAAGGAAAAAAGGGAGGAATTTACATCAAGTTTTTAGCTACATCGTCTGAAATACAAATATGCAGAATTCATCACTGAAAAATCTCAATTGTGTTTCTTCATCAGGAACTTCAACTGAACCTAGAACTTTTTCACACCTCGATTAGAAAGAAAACAAAAACAGGAAAAAAATAAACTATAAGTTGATTGGCTGCTGAGACAGCAATGACTTTATACACAGAGACCTGTACAGCATCCTCCAGGGAGGGATGTCTGGCAAGAGATTAAATAATTGTGTCTCGCTTTTGCAGGTCATCAACTCGTTAACTCGTCATACTATAAAGGGGTGGGAGGGGACAAAACTGCAGGAGTCTCAGGGTATGTGCAATGTACAACGTCATATATATATACACACGTGGCAGCGCTGGGCTGCAGCTAAAGGTTAAAACCAGTTCTAAGAGGTGATCTCAGGGTTATTCATACAATCAAGGAGGAAGAGAGAAAGAGGTCAGGGTGTTGTAGGTTCACACATTATACTTTGGGGGAAAAGCCTTTTTTTCTCCTCAACATTAACTAAAAACATTTTTAAAAACTACAGCTTGCTGCTGATCCAGCGTTTTTTTCTTTTTTTTTTTTTTATCCATGTGAGACATTATTACAGTATGTTTACAGTTTAAGGTGTACAGTACATGGAGTTCTACACGCTACTGCACAGGCCTCCCTTGGACAAGGTCTGTTCACAACTGGTAACTTCTTGGTTCCTGCAAGATTGTGAATGTACAACGATAAACCACACAGAGTTCAGCAGTCACTTTTTGTCCTTCAGAGTTTACCATTAAAAACAGTTATGAAATTGGTGCCTGTCAATGGGATAACACGGCAAGTCGTCTTTCCCCAAACTCACTGTAAACGACAGTAACTTTGGTTAAAATAAAAAAAGTCTTCTATGTAGACAGAACTTTGTCTCCTTTAATAAGGGATTTGGGACAAATCTGAGGGGCAGGGAAGGGGGAGAGGGGCCGGGGAGATCTTTCCCCGGGGGAGAAGCAGGACAGCGCAGGGCAGACAGTGGATTCTGAGGTGGTTTTGCATAAATAAAGGGCAACAGTCAGTTTCTAAGTTCTCCACTCACGCACACGCACACGGGGGCTCGGATCCCACAGCTGTCATGACTGGCCAATTAAAAACAGTACATCACAAATAACTTGTGAAACCAAAGAGTTCATCAAAGGCGACACGGAGATGTCCAAGAGCCGCGACTCATACAAGGTGAACTCCGAGTGGTTCTCGTCCACCTTGGCCAGGGCCAGCAGCGCGCGGGCGGCGCGGCGCATCATGTCCACGCTGGTGGCCTCGAAGGGCGGGCTCTGCATGTGCATCAGCCCCGCCTGGCTCTGCTGGAACTGCGTGGCGGCCAGGCTGTCCTCCAGGAAGCCCAGCAGGTTGCCAATGCTGCCCTTCTGCACAGCAATGGCCCTGGCGGCCAGGCTGTCCCCCTGGGCCAGGTTGGCCAGCAGCACCACGGCCATCTCCCGGCACACCGGGTTCTTTCTGTCACTGAGGAACCGCACCATGGTGCTGTACAGCTTCTCCAAGCGGCTGAACGGCGGCGTGGCGAGGATCAAATCCACGTTGTTGTCCTGGATGCTGAGTTTGCTGAGTGTTTCCAAAACCAGTCTCTGAGGGGAGAGGACAGCGCTGGGTCCCAGTGTCGGAAAGGGATCCTGGGCCTCTGCTGAGGGACACACTGCCCAGTGGAGGAGTCCATCCAGGATAGGCAAACAGATGCTTTCCGGGTAAGGAGAGAGGTCCAGCTGCCCAGAAATGTTGGCCAACGTGACCAGCGTGTTTTCACGCAGCATCTCCAAACAGTCCCACCACCACTCCACCTTGTTGCAGCTCACCCCTTGGTCCTGCTCCTCCTCTTTCTCGTAGGTCAGGGGGGCCTGTTTGCGTTCTGGATGCTTGTGGTGTAGGAGGATCAGTTTCCCTAGAATCAGCAGCAGCCCAGGGTGTTTGGACATTTCAAAGTCATTGCCCGGCACAAACGATAAACTCCTGATGATGTTGGAGACGCAGATGCAGCGCTTGGCCAGAGAGTCCTGCCAGTCCAGGAGGGTGCAGAGCGGCGTCTCGTCCTTACTGTGGGGTTCATCCTCCAGGATTTTTATATTTCTGTGGCTCTGAGCTGGACTGATGACAAAGGGAAACTTGCTGCTCTCCTTCGCCGTTTCCGAGGCTTTGACCTCTTCCTCCTCCCCCGGCAGGGAGCCCGGGCGTGCCGAGAGCATGTCGTCCATGGTGGCAGTTATCCTCTTCTCCGAGGAGCCGTCGGGCGCAGGAGCCTCCCCTTCCCTGGGGCTCGGGTTGCTCTCGGCTGCTGAACGTTTCCTCAAGGCAGAGGAGCAGGAAGCTCGTTTGTGAAGCAAGGGCAGCTCGGTCTTGCTCTCGAAGTGTGTCTGGATGTGCTCGGTGGTGTCCCCGCCGCCGATGCGCCAGTGCAGGAGCCCGCTGTCAAACTCCTGCACCCGGCCCAGCTTGTCCGAGTAATCCACCACGAAGGGGTCGTTCTTCTGCACCACCTTCACTGGAAGCTTGTCAAATTTACTCACTAGCTTCTCCTCGCTGCTCTCTAGAGGTACTTTGTCCTTGCTCGAAAAAGCAGCCTCCTCCTCTTCCTCATCCTCCTCTTCCTCCTCACAGTTCAGGCTCCGTGGCTCGTCGTCCTCCTCCCCTTCTTCAGGGGAGGAGGCTGAAGATTTGCAGAACCTTTCGGGATCTAATAGTGTTCTTTGCCCTGGGTCTCCTACCTCGTATTCCTTCAGGATTCCAAAGATCTCGATCAGGCAGCGCCGGAAATATTCCACCAAGAGTTCCAGCAAGCCTGGCAGCTACAGGGGGGGGAAAGAGGAGGGGAGGAAGGAACAGCGATCAGAAAACAACTCAGGAGAAAGAGTTTAAGCAGTGCTAGCAATTAATGGTGCTTCTCATTCTGGCAATAAATGGTGCAGAAGAGAGGTTTTTGTCCCCTGAGAAAAGGGACAAAAGCAGGCACTGGCTGTCAGGATCCAAACTGCCCCCCTGCACGCCCTCTGTGCTCTC